GTGGGGGAGGTATGGATATCTTCTGGAACTACACAATAGCTGAATAGTTATCCTGCGAACGCAGACGTATTTTCGGCTATTACTTGTCTCCACTGAAAACAATGTCTGCGAACCCGAGCCAGGAAACGATTTCTGTGACATAGGAATTTTAAGCCAATCACAGTTTAGCTCAAGTAGCCCCAGAATTACTGTGCGAGGTATTTGCTGCAAGGAGCACTCAAGTTTCATTCTATCATGGAATCTGATTGGCCAAAGAGAAACAAAAGTCATTACGTCATTTCCTGGCTCGGGTTCTCAGGTGTTATTTTTGGTGGAGACAAGCAACAGCCGGAAATACATCTGTGTTCGCAGGCTACTGAATAGTGAAACACTAATGTCTCTATATTCTGTTTAGAGAAATTTCCAGGTGTTTCTTCACTCAACAATGAACAGAAAGAGGCTGTTGTTCATATTCTTTGGTTGAACGATGTTCTACATTGCAATGTTGCCGACCTGCTTTGGGAAAAGTCTGATATATATTAGGCTCTATGCAACAGCAAAAAAATTGCAAATGCATATATGAACATCGTTGTTCTCACTGGTTTGCCACTCAATTAAGCATCATGGAAGATCAAACAGAAGAGATAGAAGAAGAGCTTGGGATTTCTCCCATCATTTTGTCAACATAGGACGATGTGCTTCTGCCAATGGAGAAGCGAAATACAAGCTTGTTTTTGGTGCAGCAGAATAGTCTTTGGATGCAACATTTAAAATCATGTTGTAGAACAAAGATTCTCCACTACACAATTGTGTCACGCCCATTGTCCAACAACTTTCTTTGTGTAACACCTTAACATTTAGGCTCAACAAGTACATTTTCCATAGATATACAAGATGTCTTGCAAAATTCCCCTGTCAAATAGTAAAGGAACAAGTGCATATGCAACAAAAATTGGAAGGACCACTTGATTTCAGCTTTCTCCCTTTTTTGCAGGTTTTTATTTGAGTAGAAGTCGTCTGAGACCAACATCCATAGCACCCAAACACACCTGTTGTTGTTTGCAAACTGATGTTTTTACTGATCACATTTTATTGGTCTGATTTAAATGCAGTGGTCAAGAGGTGGAGCTATTTGCAACGAGGTGATAACAGGGGAGGGGCCTAATAAGACCACTTTTTTTTCCAAAGATGTCTACAGTCTCTATTCTTCATTTGCCTTGCTTTGCTCATCTCCCTGCGCCTACCCCCTTGGCCTTCACAGCAGCGCAGCACCCCATGCTTGCCTTTTCTTTAACATGCTTTGAAAAACAGAGAGGCTGTGAACAGTCTATTTCCCACAACATTGCAGTCCCTACACCTACAGACAGCCTGTCACTCAGAAAATACCTCATCCATCCCTTGCATCCTATGTGTCCATTGGGCACCCTTATCATAAAATTCATCTCTTTGGTATCCTACTACATTATTTTAAAATAAAGCAAGCTATTTTGAGGTTACCTTTGTTTTGAAGGTAAAATTCAATCTAGTCTAAAAGGCTGATTAATAGCCACTGTTATCACTTACCTACATGTACCAATCATAGTTTCCCTGGTGATATCATCCTGTCCCTGTCTTAAAAATCTAGGCTCCTTTCAGTTCAATGTATTTCATTCTGCAGGATCAAACAATGAACATATACTGTATGAGGTGACTCTTAAAGAAACCAAATTACATAGATTCATGATTCTAAATTTATGATTAAGTCTGAGTGACTATTACAAACTTCAGAAATCATTTTGATAGTCATACAAAATTCACCATCCATTGTGCAGTCACTTGGGTGTCCAATTGTAGGTATCCAGTCACAACTAAATTTTTTAACAGGATACCCGTACTTGGACACCTACGCCATTCACTCATTACTCACTTGCGCTTTACAGTCCTTCTACTTAATATTTCCAACACTGTTAAACACTTAAAGAGAATACTACTGATATTTTTTTACTCAAAAAAGTTCTTTCATCTTGAAATTTGTTATTTGATGGGTGTATTTAATTTAGTAATGGGCCTCGTTCTGCATGTTCGGTTGATTTAAAATAATAATTTCCTCACACAATTACACACTGATATGTGCTACACTCAGTCCAATTGCATATGGGTTATTGACTAAATGCGAGGTTAAGATGGATAGATACATGTATTGGCAAAGTTCTTTTTTTTTTTTGGCATGTTTATGGACTGAAACAGAGTCATGGTCCATAAGCAGGCAAACAAAGAACAAGGCCAATATTTAACCTTAGGGTTAACCTTAGTCATTATAGCAATAATATGGGATGAAGAACAAATCTTTTCTTGTGGGACACATATTATATCTGTGTGGATGATTTTGCCTGCCTGGTCTGACCTGTGGATCCTGCCGAAAACATTAATTAATGAAAGCCCTACAATTTAGCTTCCAACTGGGTTCAAAAATATGCACAGATATTTGCTTTTGGACACTATTTGTTATAAAGACCATCCCTTAGTAGCTTAGACTACAATGCATGTACTGACTGTAGTATTGAAGCCCTAATGAACTGAGTGTTATGCTATTGCCATGTGCTCAAATTCACCTTCTAAAACCACTTCTTTCCAATTGCATTAACTTCTGCAAGTTTCAGTTTGAGGGAAGAAATCTGACTTACGATAATATAAGAACAAGCCATAGAAGAGCAAATAAAAACAAAAACAAAAAACGCGAAGATGCCTTACCTTGCAAGACAAAACACCCGCCATATTTTCGAAGACATCATGCTTCTGGCCACGTGACCTTAAATTGTGCTTTTAGTGTATCATGGGATACTCCATAAAACCGCATGTGACATACGTATTTGCTGCAGATTTTCTAACCTCAATTCAATTTATCCTCAATCAACGGAATATTTGTGCGAGGATAGTCATAAAATTAAATTCAAAGCTGGCTGAATGCAGTCTTTTAAAACGGATGTGCTCTAAGAAAACTCAAGAAATATTTTTAGTAATATATGGAACAATTCCCGGTCAATGTTACCTAAAAACAGGCATAATAGACTCCATCAGTTAGCTATCCAAAATAGTGGTTAAGCTATTGGTAAAGCTGGGCGGCCTGTCAAGGGACGAAAATTGGGATATTTTTCGGCTGTCTATTGCTGTGTGTCACCTGGGGCCCGTTTCTCGAAAGCCCCGGAAACTTTTCGGGCCCGTTAAGCGATGGCAAAATCTCGAACCTTACGATTACAGAGCTGTTTTAATAACATATTCTTAATATGAAGAGAAGTTCCCTTCATACAAGAAGTTTCAGGCGTATACACTTCTCCGTTTTAAGATACAGATGGACTACAAAATAGCTTTCCGGGCCCGAAAAGTTTCCGGGGCTTTCGAGACCTGGTGTCACGTAATTGTCTCTTTCCACATGTGCTGATACTTAGCTCTTATTAACCGAGGTAAGTCGGTCTGTATGGGAGAATCTTGACCGAGGTCGTGAATACAGACCGAATGCAATGAGGTCTGTACACACGACCGAGGTCAAGATTCTCCCATACAGACCGACTTACCTCGGTTAATAGAATGTTCATTATATGGCAAAGAAGAAGACTTTAATTCGTTTAATGTAACTGGTTTGCTGACATTTTGCTTGCGAACGGCGATGAGCTTAACATAAACCTGCCGAAAGTTTCTCGTCCTCTTTACTTTTTTTTTGTCATCAGGCTTTTTGGCACTTCCATAAATGATTGAGAAGAAAATAAAAGAAAATGGTGAACATTTTTGCATTTTNGGGTCATTTTCACATTCTCAGAATTAGACTTGAACTAGCTAACTTCCAATGGAGGCTCATGCAAGGTGAATATCCTTAAAAAGGAATGTCATTTGCAGGGAAATGTAAGCGAGAACCTGTCCAACTGTATTTTAACTGCATCTTTTCGAAATTATCTGTACCAACTTACAAAGGACAATGGTAAACCATTTCTACTTATTCTAAACTGTTGCGTTTACATTGTTTGTATTTTTGGCGGTAACGGCCGCCCAAATAGCGGGGAACTCACTTGGAACGCATGGTGTGATGAACAGGAAAACACATGCGGAGACCCACGGTGAATACACAGGCCTGGGGAACGGTGTGCAAAGGAGACCCCATCAGAAAACCGAGGGGGAAACGAAAGCGGTTGCGTATGGAAAAATGTACGGAACAACGTATAATTAAACGCACGGGAAATAGAAGCTGGGGCGCAAACTGAATGCACGCAAGGCATGCGAGGGGAAGTGATGGCCAAATTCAAGAGGAAACCTGCGGTGCATGCTTAACTAGGCAAAGGCATCCGGAAATTCACAGCAAAAGTATGGGTGACATAGCAGGGAACTCGCCGGGAAGACTTTGGGTAACGCACGGAGCGGTGTGGAAGTCCCACAGAGGAATGAACGATTTTCGCGGCTGAAAGCGCAGGAATTAGTAGGAGAAATGGAAAGAGAAAGATAAGAGGAAATGTACAAGGGAGTGCACGTTGAAAAGAACGATTACAAGCCCACAGGGTTACGGATGCAAGGGAAAAGTCAGTAAGTGGGAAACGGTTTAATCAAGATAGTTCTTTTCTTTTCTAATGGTTTCTAGTTTTACCCAACTGATAAGCTTTGATTCGGCGTAGGCCAACAGGTCTTAAATCGGAGATATTTAAAACCTTGCAAAAATAGACCAATAAGATCATCAGAAAAGGGTTATTTTAATTACCAGATATGACGGCTGCTTGAATCAGTTTTAACAAATCCATTTAATTTCACGTATTGCCGTCTTGATAAAGCCTAAAAATGCAAAGATCTCGAGTGAAATTGATATTTTTGAAGTGACTGACAATATATAGTTTTACATAAGAATTAACATCCAAGTCGTGAAAATATGCGGCGACGTTTTTGTCAGCGATTGTTTCTAGTTATTAATCAATATTCATGACTACTAGTGGAATTTGGTCATAGAGTGAAGACGTGAATTTATGTGCTCCTGGTGATGTCGAATCTGCCCATGTTCTTCCTTCCAAGAAGATAAAGCAGGATGAGAGTGAAGTATTTAAATATTAATGGTGAGTGTACGTTTTAATATTTTTGCTCTTCACCAAACGGAACAATTTCTACCTTCGTTAAGTTAAGTTCCACACTTCGCTCTCAATTTTCCTTGCCGAGCTTCACACAGCTTCGTCAAGTTCATAAACCAGATAGTCGTATTTTTGCAAACACTGAGATTACACGGTTCAGCGAAGGGTTAAGAAATAAATTTTGCGAAAGTTTGTAAGATACTTGCGCTAATTTTGTTTGATATTCTTGTTCTTACTCTCGTTACGTGTTGCTCCCTGAAAGTTGAAAACCGTTACCACGTGCAGCCGGTTTCTACGAGCTTTGGTCGCTGCTTGCTCTGGTAGTAATATAGTGTATCTTGGAGATACATTTGTCCCGAGAAAAAGGCTTATGTTTCTCTTTATTTTCTTCCTTCTAAGGAGAGGAAATGGCCTAACGGCGAAGATAGAATTCATGGGCATGACCCGACGAACAAAAGAAGAAATTGAAATTCACGAGGAATTAATGCTTATTCAACATTGGAGATGACAACGAGATAAGAATTTTAATTTCATAACTTTCGATTAAAATGGTGGCAATACATTTGAAGCTTACGTTGTAAGGATTACTTGTCGAGGTGTTTTTGTTTTTTGTTTTTTTTTTCTAGTAGCAAAAGTCGTGGTATTTATTTGTTTCGAACGACTGACGATAAGTAATCTTTGGCCGAAATTAATTTGACGGATCTCGATTCTGGTAGGCTACCATTTTGGTCGATATGATTTCAAGAATTATTTTAAGTGGATAAACAACGTTGAGTTTTTACGGCGGCACTATATTTGGCACAACTATGTAAATATTTGTGAAGACGCGTGATTTTTATGGGGTGCTTTTTATGGAAAAACGAGATTTAAATGGCCTGTACGACAACGATATGAAAATTCATGCTACCAAAAACAATTTGTCTTTCTAGAATTAGAATTTTACTCTCTTCAGATCGGGTAAAGAAGTGTAGCGTGAAACATGCCAAAAAAAAAAACTATATTGGAAGAAACAAAATTATTCTGTAACAAATTTAAATTGTCTTGCTTCTATTAAAATTATCTTGAAGCATTAAATTTTCATCGACTATAAAGCCTCAAATTTGAATGTAATAAAGCAGAAAAATGCCAGGACAGTGAAAAATACACTCGATCATGAAAGAGTACGGAAAGTCATCTGAATTAATCACGTGAAAACACAATTGTATTATGAAATTATCTGCAAACACGTTTAACAATCTGAAACACACTTAAAATCAAATATTTGTAGAATCTGTCGAAAAACGTCGATTGCAAATCTAACCTACCAAGATTCCGAACGGCTGCCGACAGCCATCCGAGAGTCCGATAGTATTCCGGAGATCATTCGAAGATTTCCGAAGACTTCCGAAGATTTCCCAACGATAACTAACTGCAAAAAATGAAGGCTAAAGGGAAATTTCTAGAGATTATAAAGTGCATTCAGAATCATGTGATCACCGAGATAGTTATCGAAGATTTTCTTGCATGTAGTTGTACCACAGGTACTTGAAAATAAATTGAAAATATCTTCAGGTTATTGGACAAACTACACAACTCTCTAGTTTAGAAAGTGCCACCTTAACAACAGATCAACGTTTGTTTATCCTCTAGATATTGAACGTTTAGGCTTTTAAGATCAATATCTGGTTCATAAAAGGTGTTGTAGAAAGTAAAGAAGGATAGCGAGAGGTGATAAACAAAATCATCGACTAGAAGATATTGTCTTGATGTGCTACCAAATTCTCAGAACTACAGTTAAGACAAAGTAATGCAAGAGTTGAGCTGTACTGAAAATACAGAACCTGTTTCTTGAAATGCTGCTTGAACATTTGCAAATCAAATTCGATTCTGCCGACTATACAATATAAACACTTGAAATTAGCTATTACACTGATCAAGACTAAATAGGCTACCAACAATTTTCTAATTAACAATCATAAACAAATTAGGCCAGCAACAAATTTGTTACCAAGGATGATAATATTTGCATATGAATTGGTACAAGAGATAATCTCCTAATTGGTCTTAAAAACGTGCCTTGTGCATGTTGTGCAAAGTTCTCGTGGTGCTTTTGCATAACATGTTTGTCTTCCTTTGCATTTCTAACGATTAAATTTCTGAACCTCAAAAAGAAGCACATAAGTATGGTCTTTGATAAGCCTTGTTCAAACCAGTGTAAGATATTTTGCAAAACTTTTCAGCAAGCGATTTATATTTTTGCTGTGGATTATTCCGAGATTGTTTTGACTTCACGAGTTATAAAATATACTGAACCGGCCGAAGAAATTTAGCGCTATTTTTGGAATAAACATCTTTGTGCTACCAGATATTGATTATTTTGTGGTGTTTACATTTGGGTTGTTGCACGGGAAAAGAGAACGGAGCGAACGGTCGCATCGGAAGAGAAAATTAACTTATTAGCGAAACTTACATGGGTCATAAACCATCGAAATTGGAAAATGTTGCGGGGAGACTATGATTGGATTTTGATCGATAAGAGTGTTCTTGCTCCTGTGCAACTGATCCGAAGTGTACCATCTATATTATCATCTGACAGAGGAAGATATGAAATGGCAAGTTACAAACATTTCAGTGCAGATCAAACTCGATTGAATATAAAATTAAACTAGCTCGGCTTGTTGAAACGGTTTTCAACAATCACTGCGAGAATTAAAATTACATTTCGGAATTAAATTTATTTTGTCGCCTATTCGATCCATTTGCCATTTCATATTTTTCATGTCTCAAGGAACTCTTGCATCGCCTCGCACGAAAACCATCGCGAAGTTCGTTGAAAAATGAAAATTGAAGACTGTTTGGCAAAACTTTAACTCGTGACGGGAAAAAAACATTCTTGAAACATCAAAATTGCTTTTTCAATGCGAGGTGATGCAACAGTTTTTGACGGGATTTTCTGTTGACTGTTGCCTTTAAGAATTTTTTGTGATCAAAAACTTCTGAAGGGTAACCTCATTAAATTTTTCTCAAAAAAGTTGTAAGGGGAAACGCTGTGCAAATTTTTAAAATTTTCCCGCCAAAAGTCTTAGTTTTTAAACGCGAACTTTTTTCTTCACGCGTTGTAATTATTTTAACTGATTTCCAATTAATTAATTACTTATTGCAAAACAATAAAATGAAATGAAAACAGCAAGTGGTGGTTTTTGTTGTGTACATTATCTTAGTATTGTTGAAAAAATATTAAAAAAAACAGTAAAGACAACAAAAATACTACAGCAAATACAAGTCAATTACACACGTGTCTTCAATATAACTTTTATTGGCTTTTTAATAATTCAATTGAAATTCATTACAAACAATTTGAATATAAGTAACTAAAATAAAAAAATTGCGCTTTTAAAAGGGCCTGGTAACTAGTCAAAATGTAGGCTATCTCTTTCACTATTTTTTGACTATGTAGGGTTGCCAAAAAGAAAAAAACTTCTGCGCTTTTGAACAGAGTCTAGCCAGAAAACAAACATATAGTTTGACTTTCGATGGGAAAAATCCTACAGAGTGCAAGATTTTTTCCACCAAAAGATTCAGTATAATGTTTGACTCAAAACCAGACACCATTTAAAATTGCAGACTTTTTTTTCTAAGAACGATTTTTCCACTTTTTGATTTTTTTTTCTTGGCCCTTTTAAAAGCGCAACTTATTCATCAATTCAATGCCTCCTTGAAAACTAGAAATAGATACTAGAAAATTAGACAGTAATTTCAACGAGTTTAATAATGAGATTTCTAGGCTGAAAATTCGGATTACGAAAACAAATCCATGTAATGCCAGTGCTCTAGCTTAATTTTAAAGCTACAAACTTAAAAATTCATGGCTTCCTCGAAAACTTGCAAGATACAAGACAATTTGACAGATACTGGACAATTGAACAGTAATTTCCAATGTTCTCTTTTGACTCTTGAGCTTTGTGTTGTGAAATCTCTAATATGAGCTTCGCCCTAATAAAAATATTTTGCAAGAAACTCAATTGAGGTAAACGTTGTCTTGAAAAACTACCTTACTTTTAAAACATGATTCACTAAAGAGCCATCTAAATGAAGTTCATTGCTTTCCTTTGCTTCTTTCTCCATGTTAATGTGGCTGCATGTACACTTGAGATGGCAGCCTGAAAGAAAGATAAACAAAACGTCCAATTAACAATGGGTATACTCAAACCCAAAGTACAAAATATACAGTGTGTACATACAGTGTATACTCGACTAAAGTTTACAAGTTAATTCCCCCCTCAGGAATTGGTTACATGTATATCATCATCATAGAAATACACGGAGTTTACATAATGATATCAAAAACAACTTAAAATGTGGACAAGCAGCAACATGAAATAAATAGCACCGCCTAAAATATAGCACTCTAAAATTAACCTTCATTTGCAATGTACGCAGGCGAAAAGCTCAATGGCGAAATTGCACGGCAAAAATGTTCGCGACAAAATGGGATATATTTCCACGCGTGATTGTTAGTCGCAATTTTTTAAATAAATTGTGAAATGCTTGAAAGCTTTCAAAAATAAAAATCTTTAAGGTAACTTCCCATTTTTACAGTATTAAAATAAAAGTAATGTAATTTGCTGGATGCTTATGACCAAATAGAAGTTTACATAAATTGAAATATTTTACACAAGCACATAACAACAAAGTTGCTTTAAAATTCCAACCGTTGTTCAAATATAATACTAATGCAAACAAACCTTTTCAAGGAAGTACATGCAAGACAATTAGAGAATTATAATAGATTTTACAGTGATTTACTGGTAATTATGGCTTTCTCCTGTTCACCTTTGATCTGACAAGAAGACTTTTATGAAACTACGACTGAAAACGACTTTCACTTTGATAGCTATTTCAAGAACATTCCCAGTGTCATCTGAAATTCCAGTGGGAAATTCCCACAACAATGAAAATCCGAAAAATGTCATGGCAAAAAATAAATCAATCAATGACTCCATAATTTGAATGAAGTTCTATATGTAACCAGGAAAGTAATCAAGACACATGCAGTACATGCACTCTAATGTGGCACTATCACACTCATTGTTTGTATTTTGACTCGCCCAATGGGCTCGTCAAAATACGGCACAACTCGTAAAAATATACAGCGATACTACACACTAAAACATCTAATAAGATATATTTATTATTATTATTATTACTATTATTATTACTATTACTATTATTATTATTATTATTATTAATATTATTATTAGTAGTAGTAGTAGTATCTGGTAAGAAAAAGAAAACGTTTTAGCCTTTATGACAGCCTTTAGAACCTGCACAATTAAAACTAAGTCAACAGATTTCTTCAAAAACGTTTCAACCTTACTAGGGAAGAGGTAAGGTAGAATCTGTGTCAGTCCAAGTGATCCAAAACACTGGAGCTAATACTGGTTTTGAAAGCATTGAAATGATAAAAAAAAGTATTTCTCCCCTCCCAGCACCCCCTAGATGGGATGCTAGTCTGTTACAGGGTTAGGCCCAGCATTGAATTCAATTAACACCAATTGTACACCTCAGTGGTGAGAGGCATAGTGAGCGCAAAGTGTCCTACCCAAGAACAAACCAAAGACTGCTTGATGTGCAGTTCAGTGCACTAGCCATTTAAGACCAACAGAACCCTTCAACCAAACACAAAGAGATCGTGACCCACCTTATATGGGATCTCAACGGGAATTTCTTTCTATAGAAGTATCAGCAAATAGACTTTATGGCTGCAGCTCTCTTTTCTATCTGGCAAAAAATAGGAAAGGTATTAAAATCATTCAAGCCTTGTAAGCACTGGAAAAACTGCAAAACACATGAGGTTACAGTGTTACGATGAATGGAAGATTCAACACAACAGAGCAAACTCTGTTTATAGCATGCAGATAGCAACAACTACCCCAAAGGTTTCCCCACTAATTTGCTTAATCGATAAAAATATCTTGTCCACTGAAAGCAGGATGAGTATACCACACAACAGGCAAATTGACTGGCTGTGAGGATGATTTTGCCCACCAGGTTTGATCACCTAGGGAAAAGTTACTCTCATAATGAAGTGCAGTTTAAAAAGTTATCCCACCTGTGGAAACCAGTTGCCCTCCTGCTAAAAACCTTACTAAAAGCCCTAAAATTTAGCTTCCAACTGGGTTAAAAAATATGCACAGCTATTTACTCTTGGACAATATTTGTTATGAAGACCAACCTAGTAATTTAGTAGCTTAGACTATGTATTGACTGAGGTATTGAAGCCCTAATGAAGTGCAATGTTATTGCCATGTGATTGAAAATTTACCTGCTAAAAACGTTTCCTTCCACTTGCATTAACGTCTGCAAGTTACTTTTCAATTTGAAGGAATAAATCTCACTCATGATAATATAAGAACAAGCTACAGAAGAGCAAATAAAAGCAGAAAAACGCCAAAATGTCTTACCTTAAAGGACACAACACCCGCCATATTTTCGAAGACATCGTGCTTCTGGTCACGTGATCTTACATTATGCTTTCAGTGTATGATGGGATACTCAATCCGACTGTGACATGGGCGGCCTGTTAAGGGACGGGAATCGGGATATCTTCCGGGTGTCTCTCGAAAGTGAAACGCGAGTTGCTGTTTCCCCAAATTGCTGTCAGTGTTTATTCGTGAACACGAACCCACGCCCATTTCTCGTGTCAATCCCTTCTATTCTGACATGTCTCGCCTCATAATCCCAGCCTGATTTCGTGACAAAAACAGATTACCAGCAGTGTAAACCGAGTTACAGGAACTCATCAGTCAAGGTATTTTGGGTTCATTTGGGAGTCTTTTGCCTTTGAATTTAACGAAACCTGAAAATAATAGTTAACTAAAGAGATAATAATAAACCATAAATGAACAAGGACAGTTAAGGATGGAGAAGATTGACATGGATTACAAACGACGAACTTGAAAAATTGAGGCTAAACTTTTCAAGATACGCAAACCATGAGGAAGCTCCTTTTTAATCGCACGCTCGTGACATATACATAAGGTTCCAGATCTCCTTTCACACGGCTGTGAACCAACCTCGTCCCCAGGGCCTTCTCCACTTTTCAAAAATGACGAGGTTGGGCTGTGAACGAGAATATCGCAACTTCAAACCTTCACATACCTTTACATAACTGGCGCCTAAATTTGAATAACAATACTTTAAACAAATGAATATGTGACAGATCATAACAGTGATGATCAAACATGTCTTCAATACTCATACATCAGCTTACGTCCTTAATCCTTGGGGTCCTTCCGGTCAAAATTTGTTGTGGACTCACTCGGCTGCGCCTCGTGAGTACACAACATTTTGACCGCTGTGATGACGCGTACTCGTTGTGGATAAGAGTACAGACCACGCTAAACCACATTCGATTTGTTAGTTAGACTCCATTTATGCGAAGGGTCTATAGTTTCGAGAGGATTTGATGGATTAACGCATTTCGTTTTCTAGTCTTCAGCAAATTGTGTATTCTTTTTGAAAAGAAATAGAATCTAATTGGGAGTTAGGGGCACTTTAAGAGGGATTAAATAATGAGGCCGGGGGTTAGTACGGGTAATCCCAGGGGTAATCAAATGGTGACGAGTGGAATTTGAAAAAAAATTCAGATAGATTTCCCTGAAAAACGAGCTCCAACTAAAATAAAATTTATTACCAGCCTGCCAAATTTTGAAATGGTGAAAAGAGTACTCAACCAAGATGAAAAAGAAAGCTAATTAAAATGTAATTGATAATTCGTCTTAGATAGCGTCCACACTACGCCGCAGAAATTTGAAAACGCAGCTTTATTTCTACGGTTAATTAGGCCTAACGTCCACACTAATTCGGACCGAACACAGAGCTTTTCGAAAACGCTCTTCAATCCGGAGGAATTTGAAAACGCCAGCTTTGCGTTTTAGTGTGAACTGAAAACATTTTGAAAACGGAGCTTTTCGAAAATGATGTACTCATGACAATCACGTGATTTCCCTGCCCTAGTTTCCCTCAAACAGAAATCCAAAATGACCGGTGATTGTTGCGATTTTAAATTCCTCTAGCGTGGTGTGGACGAAACACATTTAATGCCTTTTCAGAGTTGTTTCAAATTAGTGATGCATTATCTACCTTAATTAATATAATTCCTCAGTAACAACTGGACATAACTGGTTTATCATTACGATACGTCTTGTCTGTTTTTGTACCTAATTAGAAAACTATAATTTTCTATTGAGGTTTCCTTTACTTTGAATAGAGTAAAGTCAGCTAGTAAATGAATATTATTATTTTTTGTACATCAGGAAGCTGACAAACATCTGTAAAATGTTATGACATAGCTACCGACCTATAATACTAGTTATTATTTTTTAATTAATGCCTAAATTNGCTCTTCAATCCGGAGGAATTTGAAAACGCCAGCTTTGCGTTTTAGTGTGAACTGAAAACATTTTGAAAACGGAGCTTTTCGAAAATGATGTACTCATGACAATCACGTGATTTCCCTGACCGAGTTTTTTTCAAACAGAAATCCAAAATGACCGGTGATTGTTGCGATTTTAAATTCCTCTAGCGTAGTGTAGACGGAAACGGGAACACATTTGATGCGTTTTCCGAGTTGTTTCACATTTGTCATGCATTATCTACCTAATTAGTATAATTCCTCAGTCACAACTGGACATAACTGGTTTATTATTACGATACGTCTTCTCTGTTTTTGTACCAAATTAGAAAACTATAATTTTCTATTGAGGTTTCCTTTACTTTGAATAGAGTAAGGTCAGCTAGTAAATGAATATTAGAATTTTTTGTATATCAGGAAACAAAAAAACATCTGTAAAATGTTTTGACATAGCTACAGACCTATAATACTAATTATCATTTTTTAATTACTATCTAAATTCACATTACAATATCAAGCAATGCACAGATTGAGGTACATAGACAAAATTGTCTAATGCTTAGCTTGAAAATGCACGATATTCTTGATCTAATGCCATATTCTTATAAATGCATCATAGAGCAATGAGCTAGAAATCAATGGGGAGAATTTAGACTTGTACCTCGGAGTGAATCTGTTGGATAAGTACATGAAGTGCTCTGGGGCAGATCTAGGTTGGAGGGTGGGGGTGGGAGTTTGGTCGAACCCTCTAAATGAAAACAGTTAACATCATGGGACTTGTAAAAATATTAATAAATGCATTCAATTTTTAACATCTTTGATGGAAAAGAGTGGTCCTATCAATTTAAAAAAAAAAGTAGACAATATAAACATGCTGACTAGACCTCAGAAATTATGCAGAAAGTCCCATTTTCAACGAACTCAATTTCCCGCGAAGCGAAGCGGGAGTCCGATTTGTTAATCACGAGTACGATTACAAACTAAATTGGACGACGCGAAGCCCTGTTACCAATTAATCAAAACTATGACAAAATTCGAGAAACGAACAAACCATCGATTGAGCGCTGAACGATTAAACGTCGTTATGAATGCTGAAAAACACAGTTTTTAAATCACTCAACAAAGTGCACCGCAACAGCGCGCGCAAAATGACGCGTGCTATCCAATTACAAGCATGACGCGTACACTGTCCAATTAATGCTCTAATCGGGCTGCTGATAGCCAATCACGTTCGAGAATTTTGTTATAGCTTTTATTAGTAAGAGTAGTTGGACCGAGTTGATTACAATTCAGGAAGAAATCGCGGGAGTAATTTCAAAATCGGACGATGGCGAAGTGCGAGGTCGATTTGAAATTAAGAGGATGATTTCTCTCTGAATTGTACGACACGGGGTCCAATTACTAATTGATCGTATCTGTAACAAATTTCGGAATTAAAAATGTCTTTTATAAAGTTCTTTTGAGCGAATGTTCACGTCTGTAGCGCTTTTCATAAGTTTTGAAAACAGTAGGAAACATTACAAAAGAAGCCATTAAAGCGCGCGTAATTGACGTGCGAATCACGTAGGTATCCAATTACAGGTATCCCATTACAAAAAGTCCAAATTGGATACCTGTAATTGGATACCCATGTGATCGCGCGCCGATTACGTGACTTATAAGTGATTTAATGTATTAAAAGTAATATTTAACATTAACTTATTTTTAAATAACTAATGTTCGCTATAAACAGGATCTTGTACAAGATCTTACTGGATTCCGCAGTACTGATCACAATGCAAGATCTTGTAAAGATTCTGCATATATAAGTATACGTGTAGAAAGTAGACAGTATAATAAGGGGTATAAAAATAATAACATGAAAATACATGTGTTGTATTATCAGAACGGAGTTAAGCATTAGAATAAATAGTGTTGCAATTATTTTAGAAAACAAATGATATTCAATTGTTAATCATAACAATACTGAATTCCGCAAGCAAGGCTGTCAAAAGTTGTTGGCTACCAATAAAATTTCAAATATCTTCTATGTCATTTCATTATTAAAAACAACTGCAAAAGCAGCCTTCAACTTTAAAACTTTGTACC